TTCACCCACATTTCAACCGTTGGAATTGTCAAAATCCAACAAAAAATCCAATTGAAAACTCATTCCAACAGAATATTCTTGTTGGAATTTCTTGGAATCCATTAGAAAATTCCAACGAGAATAATAGTATTGCAATATCCGTTGGAATTGCCGTTGAAATTGCATTGGAATATATTTCTGTTGAAATTTTTCATTGGAATTTCATCACATTCTTGTTGTGTGTGTAACCCCTTTAGGCTATTGTTTGGCCGGTCAGGCCTTGTCTCACTTTTTTGTGCTTGAATTTGTTCGGCGACGACCTCCTTTCGTCTTATAGGGTCCATGAAGGATGTGCGTTTTATTTTCGGGCCATATTTGTATATTACATGGGGTTTATCCGACATCGCTAAAATAAAAATTTCATGATCGGGAAGAGTTCGTAAAACTAGTGTATAGTAGGGTCGGTGTATTTTCAATGAAATAGGATCTTTTATATGTAACCTCAAGAAATGGTAGCTGATTTTTTACACATAAGGCGATTATTTGGCTGGAATAAATCATAGAGCCGACATGTGATGTTTATTGCCAGTATACATGGAGGTGGATAAGACCTTGTTCATATCGTCTTCTCATTTGTTAGGCGCTGATAACTTTTGAGGTTAGATACACATTGTTGCTTCTCATTCCAGTGTGGGTTTGTTATTCTGTTGAGGAGGTTACTGATACCGTCCCCTATAGGGATGACATATTCATCGTGACCTGCCATTGAATTCCTCAACATAGATTGTCTCTCATAAAATGGTTTAGATATAAATTAATGAAGGTACATGTTTAATGAGTTTACGATGGTGGTATTCCCCTTCAGAGTGAGATCGGGTTCATAAGAGTTACCTGTCTTTTGATGTAGTGATTTGATTATACTAAATAACGGAACGATCGCCGACGTGTCATCCAAAAGCGATCAGACTTGGCTTCTTTATGAGATTTGATGGTTACATAGATCATAGATTCAGGTACACCTTTTCGGGTTGGTGGGTATTCAATTTGCCCTTTCACTTGGTTGTCTAGTGCCGAGTTTGGCATTTTTTTTATACTAATTAAGCACTCCTCTTTGGATGAGGTTGGGATATATTCATATGCCACACCCAATCTGACGAGTGGTTTTCTCCAATCATGATGTGTGGCTTCCCCGATGTTTAGGAATCACCATGTTATCCTTCCTTGATGGGAGTTTGGGCTTTGGCCTTTCTTGTGTCAAGATATTCTTGCTCTCTTTGATTGAATTCCCGAACAAGTCACTAGTTTCAACTATCAAGAAACTTTTAAAGGTAGGATATATCATTATGCTTTTATACGAATATTTTTCATGTGGAACATTTGGAGAATAATAGTTGATAACTGATTTAAAATTCTCATGTATGGAATATTTATGGAGTTATAGATTTAGGTACATTCATGTAAAGTTGAGATTTTTTGGGCGAATGCCATCTTTAAATTTAAGGCAGATCAAGCGTGGTGTAATATTTTCGCAATTTTTAGCTTTAGGCAGGCAAATCAAGTGCTTGTCGCATATCCATCGGACACCATAGATTTCAGGCGAGTCAGGATTTTCACCATAATAGGAGTCATAGTTCAATATGGAAGAGGCGATTGTACCAAGACTCTCCATAAATATGACTTTTACAACACGAAGGGGGTGGTTGCGCCAACACTCTCCGTAAAGACAACACACGTGAATTGAGGTCCAGTCGTTTCTGTCGAAGCTACAACTCTCTGAAGGATTTTTTAGTTCATGTTGTCTCTACAACCAATGTGAGGATTTTAAGGAGATTAGTTTACACATTTTCTTAATTCTTAATGAGTTATTTGATATCTTAGCCGTAACATGCAGAATGTTATATTTCTTAGAATTTTTAGTTCGAGCGGTCAAGTCAAATATTTGTTGCATACCTGTTAGGAGAGTATAGAATTCGGACAAGTCGGGCCCTTCTCTGAAAACAAGTGTAGGAGAGGTAGGGCTCACTATAGAGGGGGTCGTGATGCCGACTTTCTCTGTAGTGGAGAGATAGGGCTCAACACAGAGGGAGGTGGGATATTAATTGCCTCTCTGTGATATGGAAAAGGCGGATCAGAGTTGGGCCATTCTTGGACGAAGTCATAACTCTAGGTAAGATTTTGGGCTCGTGTAATCTTCACCATCGAGTTGAGTATTTTAAGGGATAAGTTGAGATAGTGGACTTAAGTTGTTAACTTTTTACATAGGAATACATTCTTTAGGGCTAGGGCAAATAGGGTTGTACGTCATTTGAGGGATTTAGGGACTTCAGTTGGATCAAGCCTTTTGTCGTAACAGCAAAGAGGAGTCATAGCTTTGTACGGAGGGGGCGATAAGTCAATTTCTCTATAGGATAATTGTAGAAGGATTGGAGTCTAACCATCCCCGCCGAAGTTTCAAGGTTAATTTTTGGGTGTTTTAGTGTTACCAGGTGGAAATTTTGGGAGATTATGAGAATATCATGCCAATATCCTTTCTCAATTCATCAGAGTAGTTTAGTTAAGTATTTTAGTCAAATTAGGTGATATGTCATTTTTCCATAAGTTTATTGAACGTGAGGATCCAAATTCACACCGTTTACCTGAGCAGAATTCAAAATCTGGATGGGTTCAACCCTTCCCCGAAGCCACGTTGTAGGGTGAGGTAGGGATCACTATGGAGGGGGGGAGAGACGTCGACTGCCTTCTTAGTGGATAGATTGGGCTCAACCCGGAGGGGGCGAGGTGCCAACTTCCTCCGTGCGAGAGAAGAATGTCAAATAAGTGGAGTCATTTAAAGTGCTATATAGAGACTTAGTTGGTATCATCGTGGCATGGCGGGTCTTTTTCTGGACGACGGTGGTCGTAACCTTGTCTGGTTTAGGTTGGTTATTTGGTGTTTATTGTTTATGGGACCGTTCGTCATGATTGATCATCCATAGGGCTGTAAATGAGCCGAGCCGAGCTCGAGCTTAAGGTGTTTGAGCTCGAGCTCGAGCTCTTAACGAGCCGAGCCGAGCTCGGCTCGTTAAGTAAACGAGCTAAAAATCAAGCTCGAGCTCGGCTTTCTAAGCCTCGAGCACGAGCCTTAACGAGCCGATCTCGAGCTTTAATGAGCTGAACTATAAAAAATTACATAATTTTCACTTTTCGAGCCTTATCGAGCCGAGCTGAGCTCGGCTAGTTAACCAAACGAGCTTTAAATGAGCTCGAGCTCGGCTCGTTAAGGCTTAGAACTCGAGTCGAACCGAGCCTTAACGAGCCGAGCTCGAGCCGAGCCGAGCCAGACTCGTTTAATTTAACAACACTAAATTCATCCACCACTGGTTCCCCGGTTCATTATGGTTAGTTGATCAAAAGTGATTATTTACATCGGGATTGTCAGTTCGGTCTTTGGTACTCGTAAGATCACCATCTTAATTCGGTTCTCTAGGTTTCGACCACTAGTTCATCGGGTTGGTCAATCGTGGCACCTTGTTTATACTTCAGGGTTTCTATAGAGTAGGTTGTTGATCTTTTTATTCATTTATTACTTTCAATTGTCAGGGAGTCATCTACTGTTAGTCAGCCAAGATAGGTGATGTAAACATTATCCACTCAATTACTTTCACAATAATGATAATTGTACAAGGGACTGCGTAGCTTCTTGTCCGATGTTTATGGGATCTCCAATTTTTTTGTTCTATGTGTTCTTTCATATGGAGCATGTCATTGTTACCAACGATGCTCGAATGGCATTGGATGAGGCTGATCGTGAAATTCTCAACTCGATCCCACTTGTTGATCCTCAAAAGGCATGGGTTTCATTGAGGTTCACCTTGACCTTGATAACGGGGGGTTTTTTAGCTGAGGTATTTTTCCATCAGGACCGCAGCTCTCGGCCCCTAAAGGTTGTCCGTTCTCTTGATTGCCCTTATCAAGGGCGCACTAGAAGGAGTGGTGAAGCCTGGATCAAGAAGGTCGCGATATGAAAGTAGAACTTGCAAAGGAACCATTTAGAAGGAAAACTTCCCAAATCTACCCTCGTTCAGGTGCATGGTAGTTTTCTAGGGTATGGGCTGATCAATCCTCCTTCCCCTTCCCCCCAATGTTGTTGTCGAGTATAAACTAATCAACTCATAGTCTTATCGATGATGAACTAAAAAAAGGTCGAAAGAAGGTTTTGATTTTTGAATCGAGCATTATAGTAA